CAAATATAGTGAATTTTGTGCTTCCAGCATCAAATCAACAGTGGTTTGAGCAATACTGGAAAATATTTTAGAATGTATGGCGGCCATCTTGAAATAAGCCGCCATATTAAATGTTGAGATGGGTCCATAGTTAATATTGCTCAGTACACAAAAATGTACCATCATGCAAAATTTGGTGCTTTCCTCATTATTTGAGCAATTTTTTCACCGATCGACCGGACTAGCAGTATTTACTAGGCAATGTTATTTTTTTCTATATATATTTTGGCTTCGAGCATTACGGAAGAAACATTAAGTGGGTGCAATGAAATTAGTCTCGTTTGATTTGAGTTAAATTATCATTGATAAAATTACCTACTAGACGTTTTATGCACTGAAATTCCAGTTGTGGTTTGCATTTCAACACAGCCTTCCACGACATCACAACTGCAATTACAAAATGTTACATGAAATGAAAACTATATCAACACTATGTAAACGCTTTGTTTCAAAACAAACATTATTTCCTGTACGCCTACATGTACATGTGTATAGATTTACATAACCGCCTTTGTTCTTAACATTATTGCAATATATGTGTCCTACGTTAACGAAACGTTGAAAGTAGCGAGAAGTATCTGAAGTATTACAGATTTAAGCATGGTTCATATTATATCATCTGTTGATCAGACACAATTGCATCTGAAATATCGTTGTATGTAAACTATGTGTTGCAGCCTATTTAAAATGCAAAATGTGTTTGTCAGATAGGTCCAATACTAAATTGATTATGTCGTTAGCATGAGTGTCTTAAAATACTAATGGTAAATACATTATTATTCAATTGATGATTTGTTTGATATATTTGTACAATTGTTAACTTCTGTAGATGGATCATTATTGGGTCACCCTCGTAGATTAATTGTCGGTATCCTATGTTTTTTGTTGTTTTTTGTTGTTTTTTTTTTATGCATAAATTAAAATTAAGATAAGATGATACAAACATTTCTAATACAGAGCAAGAACAATCGTATCTACATCTTTCACCATACGTGTTGTTCAGACATGGTCTGCAGTTTTGTCCCGTTTGCGATGTGTATCCTTTGGAACAAGCTGTAAAATTTAACATTCTGAAAGATCTTTAATTATTTTTACTTGTATGTTTAATTAAAAAATAGGGAATGCTGCTAGAACTGTATCAATTGATTAGTAAAACCATTGAAGATCTTTCTATCTTTCTCAGTCACTTTCGTTGGGGAAAATATTTAAAATAAAACATCTACCCTGGAGTCATGAGAAAGCTAATCTTACTCTGACTAAAAAAATACATTTACTGCATTAATCTAACTTTTAAAAATGTGGGTTAATTAGTGACTCAAAAGTGTCTGCCAGTGACAAAAATAGCTTATTTATATGTATTTAGACACAAAGCGCGTCCGTTATGACGTATGATAAGAAGTTTAGTATGTTTGATGAACTACATTTCAAGGTTATTCATGAAATTAAAGGTGCCTATTTACTTTTGATTGAAATAAGGGTAATAATTCGCTACTTTCGGTTTACAAAGTAGTTTTTCTAGTTTCATAAAATAGATTACTGCACAGCGAATGCAAAGTTATTGTTCTGGTGATTTCAAAATGAAATAAGTGGAAAATTGGCAACTTGCCGTTTGCTCAAAGTGATTTCTGGTTGACACTTTTTTAATGTCATATGGCTTCAACCCGATGCAAAAGACTGTATGTCTGTGTCATCTACCAATATGAAGTTATACATGTTGTAGCAAAGGTTGAAGTCTAGATCAAATCAAATTAGTCTTTGATATTGACTTACAATTGTTGGTGGGGTTCGTGATGCTTTTTGGATTGCTGTGTTGTATTTTGTGTATTATTGTTTGTCTTTTTCCGGTTTTTCATTTTTGGGGCATTGAATAGTCAGTTCGTATTTGACATTTGAGTTCTCCAATGTTCCTTTTTGGTACCTTTTTGGTAATTTTATTTTTTGTTTGCATGGTTCATGCGTTATACCAACAAATCAGTATTACTTAAACAACTCATTTCAATTGATGACAGTTTGGTTTTCGAAGCATACTATCATTTGTGTTTACCTTTAAAATGTTCGACCTTCTATTCTCAATGTCCTAGGACATACATCATTTCATAAATGCACAGGAGCCGGTTTCACAAAAAAAACTTACGACTACGATTGATCGTTAGTCATGAGCAATTCAGTATACTTACGATCAATCTTAGTTGTAAATAGATATGAGAAGATGTGGTATGAGTGCCAATGAGACAACTCTCCATCCAAGTCACAATTTGTAAAAGTAAACCATTATAGGTTAAAGTACGGTCTTCAACACGGAGCCTTGGCTCAAACCGAACAGCAAGCTATAAAGGGCCCCAAAAAATGACTAGTGTAAAACCATTCTAACGGGAAAACCAACAATTTAATCTATATAAAAAACGAGAAACGAGAAACACTTATGAACCACATCAACATACGACAACTGCTGAACATCAGATTCCTGACTTAGGACAGGTGCAAACAAATGCAGCGGGTTTAAACGTTATAATAGGTACCAACCTTCACCCTTATCTGAAACAATAGTGTAACATCACAACATAGAAAGACACACTATAAAATATCAATTGAAAGGGCTTAACTCAATCAAAAGACATATTAACACTAGTGAACATACACTGAACGAATAAATTTGATCTATGATACAATGTAAATACAAAATCAATACAATAAGGGGTGAATAAATAAAAACAACAGTAGTATACTGCTGGTAGATGTTATTTAAAAAAAAACAACAATAACCATGAACAAAAAGCCGCCATATTCAATAATATACACAGGTAAATGAAAATAATTTGGTGGTAAGGTATACAGTTTAAATGGAGAATGGAAATATTTTATTCAAAATAAATAATTTTGTTGTTCATAGTACGAAAAAGTGAAAATTTATAGTAATACCAAACACTTATCAAAGCTGGTATATAGACGAGATATAACCCTGAATAAGTACACATTATATAACCAAAAGAGTGTAAGTTTTTTTGTGAAACCGACTGCAGCTGCTTTTAGCACATGATTTGTTAAGAAGATGCATTGATACACACATGCTGACAAATATTATAAAACTACTTACCTATACAATCATCCTCTTTTGCTTCAAAATCAGCACAACATACCCTTTTACGTTGACCACTAAAAGACACCCAAAATCCTCTTAACATATATAACTATCCTATAATCTAAATTATTAATCAATCTAAACTGTAAATGTTTTCTGAATTAAGATTTAAAGCTTCTAAATATACTATTGCGTACATGTTTCATCATTTTAAAACATTGGTGAAAGAATGGCTCATCTGAACTATATTGTAAAACATTTTGTTACCATAATTTAAAAGTTTTCGAAATTTCTTCATTCTATTATGACTTAATATTTCTAAACCTAGCAATTACTATAAGTTTCATATTGATTGATGAAAAAAAACAAGTATCGTTTTTAAAGGAAAGTCAATAATGACTGTACTGAACAAAGCGAATAAGAGATTTTTACCGAGATTAAATAATATTAAATGTTAAACCTGTATGCTAGGTACTTTCTCCAAGAATATACTCACACCTACTACTCTGTTTATATCAAATACAAGTTGGTAATTCATCTACAGTAGAATCATGGGTTATAGAAGCAAATTATCGATTCCAATCAGTTGTAAATCTTGCACGGTAGAAAGAGGCAACAATAGGTATCAAAATTCTAAATGAATTCGCAACATTTATCAAGTCAAGTCATCAAACAAAATGTGAGATACATGCAAAAACTAAATGCATCGAAAAATAATTGTCTCCTGCTAGTCCTGCATCACCCAACATGCGACACAAAATCCCTCTTGACTACAAAGACCTACCTTTCAGTCTTAAATTCGCACATATTGCCATCATTTCGTCTAATAACTATTATAAATATAACAAAACATATGCACAGTCTTGCCATTACGATGAAATGTTCATAACAGATATGAAACTCATTGAGGAAATATTTGTTATTTGATCACATTCATTGACAGGAAATTATACATATATTTCATCATGTTTATTGAAAACTAAAATCAGGAAATAAGTAAAAATTATATTTGGAATAAAAGTTAATGTAGTTTTACATTAATCTCTGTCCATTTATTTCAATAGTATCTTCATGTATACATATGATGCCCATATTTTTGAAAATTGTTTGGACTGGTGTTGTGAAAATAAGTGTGTGAAATTCAAGATTACATTTTCGGTACATAAGTGCATCACTGTTTGTGGTGTCTGTCGTTGATGGAAGATGTTCGTTGTTGTTTTGTGGTTTGCATGTTGTGTCGACTATTATATTATTTGTTTTTGCGTTTCTCTGTGATGAGTGTTCTTGTGTGTGTTTGTGCTGTATTTCTGTCACGTAGCGATATTACATAACATTGCTATATTCGCGGGAGGTTTGGCTAGCCATAAAGCCAGGTTGAACCCAAAATTGTTTCTTAACATGTCCTGTACCAAGTCAGCAAATTTATATAAGTTATCAAATAGTTCCTTTCTATGTATGTTGGCGTTTGTTGCACTTCTCTTATAATTTGTGCGTTTCTCTCGGTTTTAATTTATAACCTGGATTTGTTTTCTAACAATCGATTTATGACTTTTGAACACCGGTATACTACTGCTGCCTTTATTCATCGAATATATTCACAAACAAGAAATGATTGTAACAGGATGCTGTTACGAAGTCTCCCAAACGAAGCTCCCATAATTCGTAATTCCCAGGGTCGGCTGACATTGGGCAACGTCCAGTGAAAATTGGTTTGGTCCAGTAAAGTTATATGCATTAGTGATGCCTGGGGACTAACCTTGTATATCATTCAAATCATCTTGGCATGACAAACCAGAATATATATGGTTTAGGGGTGGGGATCTCGACCATTTACAAGATACTAGAACATTGGGGGTGGGGAGGAACCCCTGGGGACTGGCCCTATACGTCATTCAAATGTTCATTACATGACGAACAGGAATATATATGGTTTAGGGGTGGGGATCTCAACCATTTACAAGATATTAGAACATTGGGGGTGGGGGGAACCCCTGGGGACTGACCGTATACGTCATTCAAATGTTCGAGACATGACAAATAGGAATATATATGGTTTAGGGGTGGGGATCTCAACCATTTACAAGATATTGAAACTTTCTCAAATGGCAGGGGGTTGGGATGACCCCTGGGGACTAACCCTGTATTTCATTTGATGTGCTTTATCATGACAAACCAGAATATATATATGGTTTAAGGTTGGGGATCTCGACCATTTACAAGATATTAGAACTTTCTCAAATGGCAGGGGGTCGGGATGACCCCTGGGGACTAACCCTGTATATCATTCAAACCATCTTAGCATGACAAACCAGAATATATATGGTTTAGGGGTGGGGATCTTGACCACTTACAAGATATTAAAACTTTCTTAAATGGCAGGGGGTGGGGGTGACCCCTGGGGACTAACCCTGTATTTCATTTGATGTGCTTTGTCATGACAAACCAGAATATATATGGTTTAGGGGTGGGGATCTCGACCATTTACAAGATATTAGAAACTTTCTCAAATGGCAGGGGGTCGGGATGACCCCTGGGGACTAACCCTGTATATCATTCAAACCATCTTAGCATGACAAACCAGAATATATATGGTTTAGGGGTGGGGATCTTGACCACTTACAAAATATTAGAACTTTCTTAAATTGCAGGGGGTGGGGGTGACCCCTGGGGACTAACCCTGTATAACATTTGATGTGCTTTATCATGACAAACCAGAATATATATGGTTTAGGGGTGGGGATCTCGACCATTTACAAGATATTAGAACTTTCTCAAATGGCAGGGGGTCGGGATGACCCCTGGGGACTAACCCTGTATATCATTCAAACCATCTTAGCATGACAAACCAGAATATATATGGTTTAGGGGTGGGGATCTTGACCACTTACAAGATATTAGAACTTTCTTAAATGGCAGGGGGTGGGGGTGACCCCTGGGGACTAACCCTGTATTTCATTTGAGGTGCTTTATCATGACAAACCAGAATATATATGGTTTAGGGGTGGGGATCTCGACCATTTACAAGATATTAGAACTTTCTCAAATGGCAGGGGGTCGGGATGACCCCTGGGGACTAACCCTGTATATCATTCAAACCATCTTAGCATGACAAACCAGAATATATATGGTTTAGGGGTGGGGATCTTGACCACTTAGAAGATATTAGAACTTTCTTAAATGGCAGGGGGTGGGGATGACCCCTGGGGACTAACCCTGTATTACATTTGATGTGCTTTATCATGACAAACCAGAATATATATGGTTTAGGGGTGGGGATCTCGACCATTTACAAGATATAAGAACTTTCTCAAATGGCAGGGGGTCGGGATGACCCCTGGGGACTAACCCTGTATGTCATTCAAACCATCTTAGCATGACAAACCAGAATATATATGGTTTAGGGGTGGGGATCTTTACCACTTACAAGGTATTAGAACTTTCTTAAATGGCAGGGGGTGGGGGTGACCCCTGGGGACTAACCCTGTATTTCATTTAATGGGCTTTATCATTTAGAACATTTTCAATTAAAAAGATTGTGTCTATCACAAACGGTTTTCAATTTATAATCATTTGAAAATTTAAAAAAATAAAATCCCATAGGGTTCTATAGTAAAACCCTCTTTTCTTTTTGCCCCTCAAAGTACCCCTTTATAAACCCCATTGCACAAACAAAACCCTGATTGCACCACTAGACATGTTAGTCTAACATATTGTGAAACCCTAAGTTAATCTGACAAGCGGTTTTGGAGAACGGGTGCGGACAAGTTCAAATTTAAAAGCGGCGGAAGAAGAAGAAGAAGAAGAAGAAGAAGAATAATAATAATAATAAGAACTGAGCAAAAACAATAAGTCTTCCCAAACTTCGTTTGGGAGACTTAATAAAGTAATATGTTCATTTCTACAAAATGTAAATAGTTCTAAATTACAAAGAACACAACATATATCTAATTGGTTAATTGTCTCCATAATATGCATATCACTTACTTCCTCATAGAAAATTACCCAGCACGAGACAGTGACATCTGCCGTGCATTTAGGATCTCAAACTGCCCCTTTAAAATCTGGTGTTGTAAAACTCGTCAATTTTTTGTGGTATCTAAGCAGAATTTAAACATACATGTTTGCACATAATTATGCTTTATTTTTACAGGGAGGCGGTTATAATAACATCGTTTAACATTTTTTCTTATTCTTTAATCGTTTTTATCAAATTATTATCGTTCATTATAACAGTATCGTTTTATTTTCAGTGTACAATAAACCATAATGTACTGACTAATCCTTTGAATACAATTACCAATTTGATTAAGGAAAAATATTTTGAAATTTAAAGTGACAGTATTCAACAGCGTTGAAATTTAAAAGATGTATATGCTAATAAACAATATGTTGTCAAACAAACAAAATAGTATTCAGAGCATGTTTCTTTAAGCTTCCACCGTGTTATAACACTGTATTCGTACACGAATTTGCCAAAATGTTTGGTAAGATATAATGTGTCTGTGTTTCAGACAAGAGATATGTTTCCATATATCATGTATATATAAAATGTATAAAATAAGATCAAGAATCTTTCTACTTTTTGTGATAAAATATGTTAAAATGTATCATAGCAAATTGCACTCCCAACACCCATATTGCAACGGTGGATAAAATTGAAAATTGAAACAATTCCAATTATTGACAGAAATTTTACAGGACGTTAAATGTAACACGCTTTACAAATCATTTGAACAAGGACGTCAAAACCCAGTATTAGTCAACAATATTAATGGATATGATTATATTCGCAGGAAAGGAAATGCGGAAAATGAATTTGACAGGATGAAAATATTTACACTTTATCATATAAATAAAATACTATACAATTATGTTTTTTTGATAAGTCAATAAGGTTTCTCTTAATAGGATGAAATTTGTGAGACATATCTAATCCAATAAAAGTACCTGTTTTATATGCACAATACTAAAACGCTGCTCTTAGGATTACATTGTTTGGAATATTGATTTTCAACTTTTTTTTTTTTTAGTTGAACCCAACTTTTCCTTCGAAAATAATATAGCAGATACTAAAGTAGGAAATCACTTAAACTAAAGATAAACAACAATATTAACAAAGCATTATTCTGAAAAGCTTCTTTCTGTGTTTTTTGGGGGTTTGGGGGGAAAATAATGCAGTAAAACTTAACCTCATTTAATATTGTTTCGACTGTTTAGAAGCTGCTAAGCTCAAAATGACCTTTTCAGATTAAATTTCATTTACTTCAGTTTTTTTAAGGTCAATATTTTTGGTACATATAGTATTTTGATATAACAAATAACACTTAAATTCAGTAATGATTATGTATCATGCAATAATTAACCCCGACATATACTCAATTGACTGTGAACTTTTAATCCATTCAAACTGTTTTGTTTGATTCGAATCGGTCTAGAAAATACCGAGTTTTCTTGATTTATTAGATGCATTGTGTAGATTAAAGTAATATAAAAATTTGCTTCAGACCACGCATTCCTTTTGACAATGTTCCAACTACATTTTGATAGTTTTGGCTAACTTTTTTTGTCCATTTCAACAAATACATAAAAATAAATATATTACCTTCTGGTAACATAAATTGCCTTTTTTTATTTTGATGTTTTAATTAGATAATTTGCTTTAAAAGTATTGTTTTGTTAGATGAAAACAGTGGTCAATACTCTGCAGTGCTTTGATAATTAACATGAAATCCAAAGAGAATCTTAGAGGAATGTTGGTGTACCGATAGCACATGAAGCTCCGCCCCCTATTTTTTTTTAAAGACAATAGGCTCTCAGCTATTTATGAAACTAATCAGAACATTAATTGAGTTCAAAAAGAAAATTAAGATGTAATGATTTTATTTTCATTCGCGTTTGGTAATAATCCTTTACTTCAGTACAATAGCAGTTATTTGCAACTTCTTAGTGAACTTAGAATATATCGTCATATTTATATTAAAATCGCAATGTCTTTTATATTGGTCCACGTGTACTGTTCAATTTAATGTTTCGTATATACTTACATGCAATTAGAATGACACTTGATAAAATTGATGTAAGCAAGTTTATTAAATCGATATTCAATCAGGACATTAAAACCAAAAATATTTTGATAGAAGACCAAAAGAAACAATGCAAAAATTGCAGCATAAAAATTGTAGATTTACTTAATTATGCATCTCCGAATTTTGCAAATCTTGATACTAGTATAGCGTGATGATGTTTGACCTCCCCAATATATAAATTGGAATTTAATCGTAACTCAATGGAGTTTGTGCAGTTCCTGCCAATTATAGATACGGCCAAATGCCAAATACATGAAATACATAATTGATAATTACTTATTTCAGACTAAGATTAATTAATATTAAATCTTGAAAACACTTTTGTTGAAATGAAGGAACCGTCATAAAACAAGAAAAAAATAACAGACTAAGGTATGATATCTTCCTATATTTGCTTAAAATGATGGAATTGGCAACAATATGTTATCTCGACACTTAATATCTAAACGAAAACAGGCTGGTTATATATTTTTTACTTCTCACTTGGTTAATGGTAGAGTTCACTACTAATTTTTCGATAGTTTAAACTAGTATTGCAGTGGAAAGCTGTACTGACCACAACAGGAACATTAGTTGCATGACTGATGACGAACACCAAGTGATGAGAAAAGCTCACTTGGCCCTTTTGAGCCAGGTCAGCTAATAATAAAATGCTTCGCTGGGGCGCAGCTTGATACGACCGCAGAGGTCGAACCCTACACAGTTGGGGCAAGTATGGACACAACATTCAAGCTTGATACAGCTCTGAATTTGGATTGTTATTAAATATTTGACACAGCATAGGTTTCTGACACAGAAAGAATGTGGTCTTAGAACTTGAATTTTTTTAATTTACCTATTATGGTCCAATGTCCAAAATCAAAATACATGGTTAGATTCAGCATATCAAAGAACCCCATATATTCAATTTTTGTTAAAATCAAACAAAGTTTAATTTTGGACCCCAACTTGGACAAACTTGAAAACTGGGCCCATAATCAAAAATCTAAACACATGTTTAGATTCAGCATATCAAAGAACCCCAAGAATTCAATTTTGGCTAAAATCAAACTAAGTTTAATTTTGGACCCTTTGGACCTTAATGTAGACCAATTTAAAAAACGGGACTTAAAATTAAAAATCTAAATACACGGTTAGATTTGGCATATCAAAGAACCCCAATAATTCAATTTTTGATGAAATCAAACAAAGTTTAATTTTGGACCCTTTTGACCTCAATATGAACCAATTTGATAGCGGGGCCCACAAATAAAAAATCTAAATTCATGGTTAGATTCAGCATATCAAAGAACCCCATATATTCAATTTTTGTTGAAATCAAAAAAAGTTTAATTTTGGACCCCAACTTGGACCAACTTGAAAACTGGGCCCATAATCAAAAATCTAAACACATGTTTAGATTCAGCATATCAAAGAACCGCAAGAATTCAATTTTTGTTAAAATCAAAATAAGTTTAATTTTGGACCCTCTGGACCTCAATGAAGACCAATTTAAAAAACGGGACCCAAATTAAAAATCTAAAAACACGGTTAGATTTGGCATATCAAAGAACCCCAATAGTTCAATTTTTGATGAAATCAAACAAAGTTTAATTTTGGACCCTTTTGACCTCAATATGAACCAATTTGATAGCGGGGCCCACAAATAAAAAATCTAAATACATGGTTAGATTGAGCATATCAAAGAACCTCATATATTCAATTTTTGTTGATATCAAACAAAGTTTAATTTTGGACCCCAATTTGGACCAACTTGAAAACTGGGCCCATAATCAAAAATCTAAATACATGTTTAGATTCAGCATATCAAAGAACCTCATATATTCAGTTTTTGCTAAAATCAAACAAAGTTTAATTTTGGACCCTTTGGACCTTTATGTAGACAAATTTGAAAACTGGACCAAAATTAAATATCTAAATACACTGTTAGATTCGGCATAACAAATAAATAAATGTGATCAAAGATTTTACAAATCTAATGCGCCATACTGTGCAATTTGAAATTTTTCAAAAAAAAATAATATTTGAAGAATAATTCTTTTTAATTTCTGAAATCTGAAATGAGAAAAAATTGACCTCCCACAATTTCTTTTTATCCCCCCCCCCCCTTTTTTCCCGCAAAAAATTCTTTCCCTCAAGATATGGTCATAATCTCAATTCAAATTTCCAATGGAGTTGGCAACCATAATTACCCATTTAAATTTACCATAGTGCTAACTTAATCTATTTTATAATAGAATTAAAAATATAGTGTCAAATCTTTCATATGGATTTTTTTGTAAAAAAAAAAAGATGCAACATTTGCAGATATTTTTACTGGTCTTCCTTTATAAATATGCATTTCTTTAAACATAATTTAAAAGCAGTGTAAGGGAAGTAACCAAAACGTTGTATTTGGATTACCTCCCTTACACTGTATTAAATTATCTTTATTGTTCATTAACCATTACTTTATACATAATTTAAAAGCAGTGTAAGGGAGATAATTTCAATGATGTATTTGATTTATCTCCCTTACACTGCTTTAAATTATGTTTTGTACTCAAGTATTTGTCCATTAACCAGGACAACCTTTGTTTTCCCCCTTTTTTGCCCCTAATTCCTAAACGGTTTGAGCCATAACCCCCCAAAGCAAATCCTAACCATCCCTTTGTGGTATGTAAACTTGTAGTATAATTTCAGAGAGATCCATACACCGTTCCACAGTTATTGTCTGGAAACTAGAAAATGCTTATTTTTGGCCCCTTTTTGGCCCCTAATTCCTTAACTGTTTGTACCATAACCCCCAAAATCAATCCCAAC